CCTTGTTGTAGACATTACAGACATTAATGGAGATCTAGGATATATCCTGCTATACACCTCTGATAACCAGTGGTAATTCCAGACAGCAACCATCACTTAATCTATCTTAAACTTCAGTGTTCACGTCTGGGAAGAAATATGGTCTTACCTAGTATTGAAGCCTGAGTGGACACCTAAGCAACCTAATTTTCCTCTAGACTACAGAAGATTTCTGGTAAAAAAAGAGAATGGAGAGGAGAAATAATTCCAGGGACATACATGTCGTCTGGCTGTGGCAGGATACAAAGAGCAGAAAGCAGCTTAGCTGCATCAATCATCATGTTGGGAAGAGCAGGATCCATGGCTCTGACCAGCAGCAGGATTCCTTCTTCTGTGTCCAGCATGGTCTTGATTCCAAACTGGTAGGACAAGAACGGAGAAGGGAGACTTCAAGATGACAGCATCTATAAGCATGGGCAAGTGTAGGGACTGTTACGGGTTAAATGGTGTTCCCCAAAATTCATATGCTGAAGTCTAACCACCAGTACTTCAGAATGTGCCCTCATCTGGAAATAGGGTTATTGGTAGATGTTATTAGTTAGGTTACAACAAGGTCATACTAGCCTAGCATGGACCCTAATACAGTATGACTGTTGTCCTTATAGAAAGTGATGCACACACAGGGAGGATGCCATATGAACATGAAGACAGAGACTGAGGTGCTGTACCCACAAGCCAAGGAATGCCAAAGACTGCCAGCAAGCCACCAGGAGCTAGGACAGAGGCATGGAACCTGCTTTCCCTCGCAGCCTTCAGAGGGAACCAATAATGCTAACACCTTGATCTCGGACTTCCAGCCTCCAGAACTGTGAGACAGTATTAAGATACACAGTGTGTAGCACTCTGTTACAGCAGCCCTAGCACACTAATCCAGGGATAGAAACCTTTTCCTATTACAGCTAAACAGGGATCAGCAGAGCAAAATGATTTTCTAGTACATGCAACAGAATTGTATGTCTTCCAAAACCAAAAATCTATTATGATTCTTAGGTTTTCTTTAATGCCACTCCTCACCATCCAATGGAGTAAGTTAATTTTAACAAAATTAAAGTGAGGACAATGGATCTGCACTCAGGAACAAAAAAATTATGGGCTCCTTGGGTTTAATACTAGACAGACAAAAAAGATGAAAAGATTCTACAGTAGGAACAGTCTGGAAAAGAAACAATTAGGTAGAGAATAAAGTAAAACTTCCAAAAACAGTAACTACACATCAGGAAAACTGAAGAATTAGCAAATCAAAGTAGAAAAAGAGGAAGAAAATCGAGCATACCCGCTGAAACAGACATTTGAACTTGGAAAAAAGGTCCACTAAAGCATGTATATGTGGCAATCAAAAAATTACAGTGCAAAAGGAATGCTAGAAGTTTTGAGCCTCATATTCCTAGGTCCTTTTTGGAATTTTCCAGTAGAAGAGATAGAATGGGGTCACGATGAGGGTTGGAACAGAATGGGAAAAATCTCACCTTATTATTCATAAAAGCTTTCAAGCAACGAATGATCTCATGCTTGTTACGGCTGTCGTAGCTCCTGCATGCAGAAGACATCATCAGTTAAGCGCCTTTATGCTATATATTCCCCGCTCATTTGACTTTTCAATTTTGCAAACAAGGGTCTTAGGAATGTCTGCAACTAGTAGCTGAGTAAATCCCAGCACTACTAACTCACTACTTCAAAGGTTTCAAGTCTGTATATTCAGGAGGTAAATAGGTCCTGTGTTTTGCTTTGGAAAGATCACAGGAAGGAGAAGCCACTTTGGGTCAGGCTGGCTTCAAGGTAGCCTAACCTAAGACTTCCCAAGGTAGCCCCAGAATTATTCCAGCACTGAGGACTGTCATAAAGCTACTCCCTAACTGACCAAGTATATTTGAAGGTTTTCAAATGAAATATGAGCCAGATCAAATGACAAACACAGTCTGGACTACAGCAGACCCTCCTTCCAGACGGGACGAGAACCTGTGCTGGGAGACTCAATCTTATGTTTCACACAGGCTGTGTGATTCACTGTGAAATTTAAGCTCCTCCCCCCTTTCCTGTACCTACAATTATCATTCACCCTCTAGTCGCTCCCACAATAAACCCCATTCTCAGCTAACAGCACTTCTAATCCATAACTTTATTTTAACCATTATTTTTTCCTTTAGAGCAGTCATATCCTTCACCGAGAAGATGTTAAAACTTGGAAATCCTCACCCAGCCGTCTCCTCCTTCTCATCATGGAGTCGTTTCAGGATGTCCAGCAAGGAGGCCAGGCCCTCCCCACCGAATGTCTGCACCCAACTGTAGAGAACAGAGACAGTGCAATACAAAATCAAACCAACAAACACTTACCTTCAAAACAAAGTTGATCCTGGCAACTATTTACTCCCAATTCAGAATATTCTCATACTTCCCTGACTCCTTTGCTCGTCGATCACCGCCAGTAAACTCGAACCTTGGGCTCTTACTCCTGTTACCACCTCGGAAGCCTTACCTGACAGGGTTGTTGTTGAGCGAGACACGAAGGGACTCCAGGCAGCTGAGCAGAGGCATATCCCGCACGCCTGACCTCAGCTCCTGAATGTACATCATGGCAGACCTGGAGCTCTCCTTTTGGTTCATGCCCTGGACGTGACCATAAAGAGAAATTGGTAAGCACTGGACCTAGTCGTAAATTGGACTAGTATTAGTCAATACAGTGTAAATAATATCAGGGCAGACATACACATGCCACCAAACTACGTGAGACTCAGAATTTCCCGTCCCATTCCCCACATTCATGAAGACCGAATCAGGCAAAAAGCAACTCCAATGAGAATAAAAAACGAGTAGGCTTATTTAACAGAATGAAATAGAACTGATGTAGACATCAGATGTTCTATAAAACTGGGACAACAAACCCGTGCAAGTTAAGGGCACAGTCCCCTTGTCAAGGGCCCCTGCCCCGTGACTCACGGCCTTGGAGGTGTGCAAGTACTGGGACACCATCTCCCTCTTGATGACGATGTCCTTTTCCCTCAGAGGTTGCTGTTTCTCCTCATTCAGGTTCATATCCAGCTAGTAGAGAAAAAAAAAAGGAAAAAACAAATTCCTTGTAAGTTTTCAGTATTTATTTAGTATACCTGGTGAAGATTTGAACCTATTCAATGCTTATTTTAGTACAAATACTTGCAGACATTTTTATACATACACACCATTTTTCGTAACAAAAATGAACTCTTAATATAGATGGAAAAGTTATTTCGTATTATTGAAAGAAAAGCACACATTATGTTTTTTTATACTCAGGATGGAGCGTAACAATCTCTTTGGACTGAAGCACTGGATGAGTGGCTTTATCCAGACACCAGCAAAATCAACACCAGCAAAATCTGTACCACTCTAGGGCCTAAACACCCACTGTCCCTGGTTAAATCTGCCCCAGTACAAACTCCTTTCCCATGAGGAAAGAACTGCAAACTGTGCTAAAGCCCCTCAACAGACATAACCTGGATTGCATTCTTTGGGAAAAGGCTCTGCTTGAGTCTGTTATACGTACAACCCTCATGAAGTACCAACCCCTGTGGCAATGTAGAGCCTACCTTTGGGTTAGCCAGAGTAGACACAGTTCTGAAGCATTCATGACCATGGGTCTGAGCCCACCCTAACAAGTCCAGAACGTTATTTGAAATGGGGAAAGATGAAGGAAAATTGATATATTCAATTTTTTCTCAGTGTGTGTGTGTGTTGGGGTTGTGAAGAGGACATTGCCTCCAAATAGCAATATTAATTTGACATTTTTCTGACTTAATTCGTGGTCCTTTTTTCCTTCTTTTACTAATAAACTGAATACAGAAGTTGCAAAGCAGTGGCCCTCAGGTTGAGTCAGACAGAGAAAGGTCAAGTATGATTTGCTTGGCTAGAGCAACATTTTAAATTTGGGAGACTTCATATAAAAATACAGGTTTCTAGCATCAAGTGAAGCAATCATCAAATTTCAGAATGTGAGAAACTCTAGAGGTCAGTTTCTGCGGCAAATTTTTATAGCAACAGCTATAAAAGGATACAAGAGAGGGAGGAAAACCTGTGTGATTAAACGAAACTTAGGAGAATGTACAATGGATCTTATCTGGAATTGTGATTTCAATAAATTGTTTTTTTTAAAAATGACCTAATTGTGGAAATTTGAATATTGGCTACAGTATCTGATGCTATTAAAGAACTACTGATTTTAAAAATTTACAGATCTCTTGCTTCTTTTGAAAAACAGAAATATCTGGCATTACTTGACAAGTATTTTAAACCAGAATACTACAAAACCTAGTAGAACTGAACTGTGGCTGGCCTTTCTAACAAAAATGCCCAACGTCCCTCATATTACCACAGTCCCTTCTATTTATCATCTCCTGTCTAGCCTGTTTAACTTATTTATGCTACCTCCCTGGTCCTAAAGACAGCCAAATTTGCAATTCAAAACCTGAGAGTTCATGCTCTTGGCTTTTAAAAGTACTGGTTAGTGTTTATTACATACCAGGCACTATGTTAAGGGTTTTAAGGCCATGCTTTTGATTAAGTTAGACCTGCCACTAGTCTCTGTTTGAATCTGAGATCATATATCCAGGCCACATATGGGTCTTTTGAAACCTTACAGGCACACACTCAAAACTTTCCAAGACTCACCACTCGTGGACAGTCACTAAGTATCCTCCTCACTTGGTGTTCACTGAGGACAGCAAATGAAGTCACATCCATGTATACTTTATTACTAAACTGACTTCAGCAGCAGTCTTTAAAGGTCTTCTAGTGATTAAAGCATCATAATTCTCTTTCCAGACTCACCAGTAAATAGAAGATCTTGGACAAATGATGCCTTCCCATTCCTCAGTTTCTTCTTTGAATAACTGAGTTATTGTGAAGGTGTCAAAACTTTATCTATTCTGGCTAACCCAAGGGTGGTCTCTATACCACCACATGAGTTGGATTCCAATCTCATGGACTGGTGCTTGAATATTCAGTTCCTTCGTTAATGGGGCTGCTTTTAAGAAGTTCTCTGTTAAGCTTGGACTTCTTTGTAACTAAGGGCTACTTAAAGTGGACTATGCATGAAAAAGATACAACCGTGCCCATTAACGCATTTTCAGAAGGAAGCAACAATATGGGGTGGGAAACTTACCAACATCTGTTCAAAGAGTACTAGAACTTGATCATCTGAAACATCTTGCAATGACTGTGCTGCAGGGTCGTCCCCGTATGAAGCAGAAGAATTTCTATTAGCAGAATTGGGCTTTTCTTTCTCCTTCTTAATTCTCATGCTGGTAAATCTCTCTAGCTGAGAAAGAGAAAAGGCTATTAGCAGTGGTCCATTTTTATTTACACACCACACCACACATCAAACAGCCAGTCCTCTAACCTCTTACGCATGCATGGTTCCTCTGGTTTGTGGGAAATTCAAGACTCTTCTAACATGAAAAGAAGAACCCTTGTATCTAATTTAGTATACAGACTATGTACTTTCATTGTCATCCAAAGGTAAGAGGACTGAAGTATTAAGATTTGGAAACTCTCTAAAAAGAGAAAACTTAGTCCTTAAACTTCCCTGCCATTTCTAAGCCCTCTAGCAGCACAGAACTGAAAGCACCTCATGTACGGAGCCAGCTCAGTAAAATGCCCTTTGTTTCCCTCTAGCTATCCAATAATAAATTGGCCAGATCCTCAAAGGATCCTCCCTTTGAGAGGTCAGACCATAGATTTTTAATAGATATAAGTCATACAGAATAAGTAAATGGCTTAAAACCAGGAACCATTCCTTTTTCTTTCTTCTGCACATCACATAGCACTTGTGTTATGTATGCAGCAAAAGTTCAATATATATTCTTCAAAATCCCCTTTGCAGAGAATATTATGTAGTTCAGGTTTATATGCTATCTCTCTGCCAACCAAATGCTTACAAACCATTTGTGTGTAAAATTGTAATATTTCCAGAGTATCTCGCCTGGTTTCAGTACATCTGCATATCAATAGGCATTCTGAGGTGGAAAGAAGTATGGCTTTAGAGCATTTGCGTCATTCCTCAGGGGTGGAGAGAAGTTCATCTCCATGTCCGTGGGTAAATTACCTGGGCAAGGAGGGCTTATCTGCACCTGAGAGGAGAGGGGGGCCTGGTTCTGCTTCTGCTGGAACAGCAAAGAGAGAAGAGCCTGGACTGCAGTTTGTAAGCAATAAACGGGCTTTAAACTTTATTTCTCCCTTTGACCGATTTCAGTTTTTAGAGGTATTTTGCCCCGGGATTTCCTCTCCCCAGACTTACACCATTCCTCAAATCTTAAATACATACGCTCAAATCAGTTAAGAGCCACTGATACGCTGCAGCTTTTCAGATCTACCTGTTTGGAAACAACAGTAAATATCTGCAAGCATTGTGGGGCTTCAGCTGATGTGACTGGCATCCAGACTGCAAGTTAGCGTGGTATTTAAAGAAAGTGCCTGACCTTGGAAGCCAAGTAATGTGCCAGGGAGATGCATGCAATGGGCCAAACACAGAGCAAAGAGTTAGGAAAAAGCTTCAGGAAGTTCAGAACAGAACCCATATCACCAGTACAAGTTATAGAAAGTCAAAGTGAAAACAACTGGTAAGTATCGTAGTGTAGGAAATGAGCTGCAACATGCACGTGCTAAATACAGTTTCCTTACCTCATCTGCCATGAGCCGCTTCAGAGTCTAAGAAACAGGAAAAAGGAGGAAGAAAAAGAAGAGATATCAGTGAAATGCCAAGATGCCTCCCAAACGCCAGACAGGTTGGGGGGGAAAAAGAGAATAAGTAAGTTGAAAGGATCTAAGCTACTTCCCACAAGCTATCAGATTTCTGCCAAACTATTCCTTAGCACATTCCCTTAGGTAAGGGGCAGAAGACTTTTAAAGTCGCTAACATACGACTCATTGAAAAAAATAAAAGAAGAAGGTAAAGAACTGAGAAGATTCTAAATCCTGTTACCAATCACCTATGAAATGTGCTCAACTTCATCAGTAAACAAAGAAATGAAAACTAAAACCACATGAAATTCATTTTTCACTCTCAGGATTGGCAAAAACTTTCAGTCCTGTCTGGCTGTAAAGCAGTGGCAGCTCTCACACTGCTAGTGGTAAAGGAAACTGCGACGGCCACGCTGGAGACCAGCACGGCAACATCTAGTAAAGCTCAGTATGTACACAAACTACAACTCGACACGTCAGCTTCTATAAATCTACCCTGCAGAATCTTGCACATATGTAGCAGGCTGTGTTTAACAAGAACTTCCACAGCCATATTATAATATCTAAAACAGAGAACAATCCAAATAGCCATCAAGAGTAAAATGGATAAACTGATATATTGTTACCACAGAAAACCATCAAAGAACGTGAATAAACTTACAACTACTCACAAACATAAAACTGAATGCATTATTTCATTTACATTGTGTTTAAAAACATGCAAAACTGTATTTATCTAGGATATAACATTATAAAGGGAATGATTAACACAAATGTCCAAACAGTGGTTATCTGGGGTGAGTAGAAAAGCTGTGACTAAAGAAGGGGACAAGGGGCTCCTGAGGTGCTTAAAATATTCTATTCCTTAACATGGATCATGGTTACACAGGTGTTAGGTTTATAATTATTTTGTATGTTTTATGTTCTCTTCTGTATAAATGCTACATACTTTTTAAAAAGTCTGAATGGGCAAGTGTGGGAAAGCAGGAATTCTTCTTCATCCTAATAGTTAATTTTATATCATATTTCTTTTTACTAATGTGCTTAGAAGGGTATAGTAAATGCCTCTTGACTAACCTTCCTCAACTAATGAAAAACTAGTTCTGACTGTACCACAAAGCTATTGTACTAACCTTCTTATGGACAAGAAAACTCTTATTTCATTATGCTCATGTTCCCCATGTCAGAGTTTGGTTATTAAATCCAGTGTAAACTGTGAATCTTAACTTTTGTCCTCCATGGTCCAGAGGAGGTCAAGCTTCCACTGACTGAATGCTAATCACTCACCTGAAACCCCAAGAACCTTGCTTGGCGTCAATGGAATTTTCTATTACTTTGTGTGTGCTGCTCACTGGGGAGCAAAGGCAGAAGGATGGTGCGGCAGAGGCAGCAATACCCACGCAGATGAGTAGTTCCTTTTGTCACCACCCTCAGTCACCTGGCACACTGAGGTACCAGCCACAAGAAGGATGAGTATATTTGGTTTAGGTTGCCAACACCAAGATTAACTTTATTTTCCCCTCCAGTAATTGCTTCCAGAACCGTGTCCTCCAAACTCGAAACATCCCTTCAGAATGGAGCAACAACCCAAACAACTGTGGGATGGATATAACGTAGGTAAAGAACCCGGGTCCAACGAATCAGTGCTAGCTGGATCGTTCGCATGTGCGGGTTAAGTCTAACCAAAGGAAACCAGCAACCTGTTCTTGCTGCCTGCAGGCTCTTACTTCTCTTTAGTCTACCCCTACTCCGACGACCTAATTTCATGCCATTATTATCTCTTGTTTGACTTACTGCAACAGCCTCCTAACTTACCTCCCAGCCTTCAGTCCCAACTGCCCCACACTACATTCATTCTCCACACTACATCCAAGAGTAATCTTTCTAGAAGACTAGGCTGTCCATATTATTTCCCAATTTAAAACTCTTAATAGCACTCTACTGCCGTCAGGTTAAAAACCAAATTCCCTGGCTTCTTTCCCCTGACGATTCTCTCAACAAACAATCTGCTTCTTTCAAGGCTAACTCCAACAGGCCCTGTAGGATGACACCGCCTCTTACTCAACAGGTATCTCTCCTTGTGCCTCCACAGTAATAGGTACTTGCCTGTCTCACAGCACTAACAGTGGATTACAATTGTCTTTTGATTCTCTGCTTCCTCTACCTCTTTCAAGACTCAGTTCCTTTAGGACAAAGCCTGAGAATTAGTCACTATACTGTCTATGAACAAATATCATAATCTGGGGCTGCTTTCCTAAAATACCAATTCCTGGAGAAGCCCTCAAATCTATTCCACCTCTTCACTATATCAATGAAGAAGCTGAAGGCCAGACAGGTGGAGTAAATCATCAAGGTCATATGATTAGGGGCAAGGTGGTTATGGAACTTCAGTCTCCAAATTCCAAAGCCCAAAATCTGCATTCCCCACATTCTTCTGCCTTGTTCCCATTTAATGACCACTAACTCTTGCCTTTAGGTATAAAAGTAAACATATATTTTCGTAAGAAGAAAGATACCACTTTCCTTTGCGTTCCTTGGTACATCATTAGAAACAGATTTAACTCTTTAAAAAAATTACCCCATGTTTTAGTGCCCAGTTTGAGTAAGGACAGCAAAAAGGCTGCATTTCCTCAACTAGTCCAATAGAGGGCAGCAACTACCAGCAAAGCAAATCACATTACAGGCAAAACTCTGAGAACCCAACTGAATACCCAAACACCAAGCTCAATTCAATTATTAAAATGGAAACTGCTGCTCCTGTATATTAAGGGTGTGTCGCTTATTTATTTAATATTATGTGTGTTTACCTTACATATTATATTCTTTGTGTGTGTGTATGTATGTATGTATGTATGTGTGTGTGTGTGTGTATATATATATATATACTGTGTTTGCAAGTAGTAGGCTTTGTTCAGTTTTTTTAAAAATTGTATCATTAGTCGTTTTGTGGATTTTGAGATATAAAACAAGAGGTTCCTAGATCATGAAAAGTAAAAAGAATAAAAATAGTGGTGTACAGGAAGATAATGCTACTGGAGCTCCTAGTTATGCCTTATGCCTCACATTTCCAAGTTCTGTGTATAAAGTCTCTAACATCCTACCGCCCTCTAAATGCTTCCACTCTCACCATTCTCCTTGCTTGCTGTCAATTCTCTTCCCCCCAAACTGAACCCTGAACTGTCTTCACTAAGTACTTCGTTTTCCTGTCCTTCCTACTGAACCTTTCACTAACACTAAAACCTTTAACTACCAATATATACTGAAGGAAGCATAAATACTAAATTAAGATTTTTTTAATATCAAAATCTGCTCATGAATATAGATTAATCGCAACTAGCAGGCAAAGACTGTAGACTGAATCAAAGCGTCTAATTTCTCCTCTTCTTGAAACCCTTCTAAACCTACAGAAAAAAAATTTTAGAAAGAAAAAAATGATGGAAGCAAGGAGCCTACAAGGTTGGGAAGAATCAGAAAAGTTCAAGTGCGACCAAAATTTGAAGTTGGGAAGTAAACAGAAGGACTAGTGGTAAACCCAACAGACTTAAGAAAGCTGAATCTTAAACCAGAAGTGGGAAAAGCCAGTAACCAATCCAGTTCATACGTGAGGATCCTCAAAAGGCTCAGGAATTAGCAGGACCAGGTACCTATAAAAATGGAGGATGGCGGGAAGAGAGGCTAAAAGACTGGCTAAAAGCTGTTTAAGAAGCAGTTAGATCTGTAGATGCTCTTGCCTTCCCTCTTCTGCCCCGCCAACCACATCCCTTGCCAATGAGGGACTACCCTCCCTTACTCCAGCAGAATTCTGCAAGTTTATTCTTAGAAGAGGGTGAAACAGAGGGGTCTCTGGATTGGGGGATACCAGGTACAGTCGTGAGCAGGGATCCTATACCAGAAAGAATGGTACGTTCATCTATGCATACCATATACTAGACACTCATTACCTTACCCCTTCTAGTTTCTCAGAACCCCAGTAGTCTGGCCCTTACCCTTGAGGCAGAAGATTGGAAGAGAATTGAAAAACGACCTAAAGCTACTGATACTGCCCAAGAAGACCACCCTAGGGCTCTGCAGTCCAATATGGTAGCTACTAGACACATGTAACTATTGAGCAACATCTAATGTTGCTAGTGTAACTGGCAAAGGAATTTTAATTTATTGAATTTTCATTAAATTTAAATTTAAAAACTAAGTTTTATTATTGCTGTTAAACTTAAGTATGTTTAGAATATCCTGGGTATGTCAATCTACTTTTTAACTTGTAAATTTTATGAAGTCTAAATATATCTCAAGTATTTTTTATGAAAATTTACCATCTGAACTGAGATGTGCTACAAATGTAAAATAAACACTGGAATTGAAAAACTTAATATAAGAAAATGTAAAATATCTAATTTTTATATTCATTTCATATTGAAATAATATTTTAGGTATATTGGATTAAATAAAATATATTTCTAAAATTAACTTTATGTGTTTCTTTTCTCTTTCTGTCTTTTTCTGTGGCCACTAGAAAAACTAAAATTACATATATGACTCACAAATTCCTTTTGGACAGGGCTGTCCTGCATGCAGTAAAGGGCACAGCTAACAAACTCTACCCATGAATGAAAGTTTCTAATCCATTTTTTTAGTCCCTCATTCTTAAACATTAGCAGACAACCCAGGATTATCAGACATCTGAGGAAAGCTACCAAAATGAGATACAGGGGGATTAAAGCAATTTGTCATATAGAGACTACACAAGGAGAAGAAAGATTTAAAAATCATTAATATACACAAGAAAGAACATAATCACATTTTAAAGAGAAATAGAGGAGAAAGAACCCTTAGAAGTTGAAAATATAAGAACAGAAACTTGAGAAAGCTCAACAGGACAAAAAGATAAGAATTGAGGAAATCTCCCAAAAAGTAGAGAAAGAAAACAGAGATGGAAAAAGAAGACCAAAGAGATGAGAAAATTAGATCTG